AGGCGGCGCGCAAGCGCCCTGGGCGAGAAGGGGGCGGGGCTGCGAGACCCCTGTGCTCAGGCGCTGTGGGGCCTGCGCATGCGTCCTCCGTTCCCGACCTGGGTGGGAAGTCCGCACCAGGTGGGCAACCTACCCTCCCAGAGTGCCGGCCCCAAACACCTGCCCTTTTTGGTACTTGCTCGAAAACGTGCTTATTTACTTGTTTTGGGGGACGTGTCTTGCGCCGAAGTCCAAGCCGGTCTTGAACTCGCAATCCTCCTGCCCCCATCCTCCTAAGAGCTGAGACCACTGGCATGAGCCACCACACTCGGCCTAAAACTGCCCTTATATTTTTCCCATTTATTATTTACTGTAATTATATGTGTACGAGAGTTTTGCCTGCATGTAAGTGAAACCTTGTGTGAATTCGCTTATTTTTTTATTTTTTGTTATTTTGAGGCAGGGTCTCACTGTGTATCCCTGACTGGTTTGGAACTCGCTAGTAGCCCAGGTTGGCCTGGAACTCGAGTTCCAGCTGCTGCCTTCTGAGTGCTGGGGTTCAAGGCGTGTGTCACCATGTCCGGGGTAAAGCTACCGTCTTAACAAAATAACTCCATCAGCGTCCTCCGGTTATTGTCTGTCTGCTCTTGTAAGCAGCCGAGAGCTTCAACCTGTTAGGAGTTCGGCCCTCTCCACCGAGGCCCTGTCTTCTGTCAGTCACAGGAACAGCTCTGCCAAAGCCACCAGTGACTTCTAAGAGGTTGCCAGGTTCAGTGGTAAGTTAGTTCTCAGTCCCCAGCAGGATTTGTTGCTGTTGATCCCCAAGCTTCTATTTTGTTTTAAGATAGGGTCTTGCTCTGTAGCCCAGGCTATCCTTAAACTTGAGATTCTCCTGCCTCCCCTCCGAATGCTGAGATTACAGGCATGTAGCCAACTCCACAAGGCTGATCACCACCTGTTCTTGAAGCATCTTCATTTGGCTTGGTAACCATCCTCTTTTCCTTACCTTGATTCTTTCTGGCCTAATAATTATTGTTCCATTTCTTTACCTTTAATGGTTGTTCCAGCCCAATACCCTAGATCTTGTCTCTGTTCATTCCCTGGGCAACATCTGTTTCACACTTTAAATGTCATTTGTTCTGTGGGTTTTTGTCTTTTTGAGACAGGGTCTCCCTGTAGCCCCAGCTGTCCCGGAACTCACTATGTAGACCAGGCTGGCCTTGAACTCACAAAGATCCGCCTGCCTCTGCCTCCCAAGTGCTGGATTAAAGGTGTGCGCCACCATGCCCGGCTAGGATTTGTTTTTTTTAATGGAGGTAGTATGTGTGTGCATGCACATCATAGCACTCTTGTGGAGGTCAGGAGAACTTTTGGTTTTATGTGTATGACTATATGGCCTGCATGTGCCATACAGTGCACTTGTGCCATGCCATGCTGAAGGAGTCAGAAGAGAGTGTTGGATCCCCTGGAACTGGAGTTACAGATGGTTGTTAGCAGCCATGTGGGTGTTGGGAACTGTCTTCTGCAAGAGCAGCCAGTGCTCTTAACCACTGAGCCATCTCTACAGCCTTCTGCCTCTTTTTTTCTCTTGTTCTCAAGCTTGAGAACAATTTTATTAGTATTTAAAGACTTACAGGGTGGCAAGCTATACATCTTCGTAGCTTCCCAGTGCAGAAAGATGGAAAAGAGAATGAAAAGTCTTTGGTGTTTGAGTTAAGCCGGCATGGAGGTCTGCCATATGGTGGACAACAGCCAGATGGTGGGGAGGGGAACTTTAGAGGAAGAATAAAGCCCAAAATGTTGGGGAAAACATTCTTAGTAAAGAGAACTGGGCATACTGGCACACACCTTTAATCCAGCACTCCAAAGGCAGAGGCAGACAATCTCTGTGAGTTCAAGGCCAGCCTGGGCTCCAGACTGCCTCAAAATCTATAAAAGCATGGTGCTGAAGGGCTGCCTCAGCAGTTAAGAGCACTGGCTGGTCTTTCAGAGGACCTGGGTTGATCTCTAAAGAGGACAGGTGACTCATCAAAGTTATAGGACATTTCGAGGGATGTGCCATAGCCCCTGGAACTTGTTTGACCTTGGAGGGCCAGGAACAAAAATTTGTCCCTTTTTAAAGTTGGGAGAGCGGGGCTGTTAAAACCTGTCTTCCTCTTTAGAGATCAAAGGGGAAGCCTGCTGTGTTGGCCAAACAGTGGAGAAAAGTCTGCTTCTCTTGACTTCAAAGACCAAGGTGCTTATTAGCTAGGTTCCCTTTTCTCAGGAGCATGAGAAGTCCTTGGAATCCTGTTGGTGAGGGGGTAGGGCTATCTGAACCTTAACAACTGTATGTAATTCCAGTTCCAGGAGATCTGATGCCTCCTCCTGGCCTCTATGGGCATTACAGATATGGATGCACTTACATACCTGGAGGCAAAATACTCATACACATAAAATAAAAATTTAAAAAAATAAAAGTTTATATGCAGAGCGTTGGGACTTTCCAAAAGTTTTGATTGCCCTTGACATGAGGGTAAATGGAGGGGCCTGTGGCAATCAGATTCCACCACCACCAGTCATTTTTTGTTTGTGAGCAACTTTGAACTTTTCCCCTAGTTGTTTGCCTTTTTTTGAGCCAGTGTTTTCCTGCAGCTCCAGCTGTCCTTGAACTCGCTATGTAGACCAGGCTGTCCTCCATCTCACAGAGATCTGCTTGCCTCCCAAGTGCTGGAATCAAAAGGTGTGTGCCACCATGCCTGGCCCCGGTTTACTTTATAGTCTCATTGTCCCTGTGTGCCATGATATGGAAATGGTTGACAAGCCCTACTGTAGAAGTGTTCATTTTGACAACTGCCATAGGATTTTTTTGACAACTGCCATAGGATTTGGATCCTGAAAGATGAGTAAATTAGAACCAGAGAGGAAGAAGAGAAGGATTAGAGGCACTTCTGGCAGGTAGCACAAACACAGGAAGGTCTGTGCTTGTTTGGGATGGGATAGTCACTCCATGACTTTTTCCTAGTGACAATAGAAGAGGGCTGCTGCCATAGTTTTAGTGCCTGCAGTGTTTCTGAGCCACATTACAGCGATGTTTAAAAAAAATACACCCTTGCCTGGCCAGGCACGGTGGCATATGCCTTTTAATTCCAGCACTTGAGAGGCAGAGGTGGATCTCTGAGACCGAGGCCAGCTTGGTCTACATAGTGTGTTCAAGGCCAGCTGGGGCTACAGGGAGACCCTGTCTCAAAAAAACGTTATTGAATATGTCAATTGTGTTGTAATGATATGCTTCTTCTAAGTATGTTGTTATTAAATAAATCAATAAATAAATAAATAAATAAATAAATAAATAAATAAATAAATAAAGATAGCCTGACTCTTAGCTCTGTGTTAATGCAAAGAGTGGACCTAAACTGCTGAGAACCCATTCCTTCAGATCTCTCTGAGAACTGTGCTCTCAAGCAAGGGTTTTGCCCATTCTTTATTGTAACACTATCTCCAGGATGAAATGGGGAAGTAAAATTCAACACCCCCTCTTATCAGAGACCCTTACCCTTTCTGATCCCTAGACATAGACCAACACACACAGGTCCATGCACATGGGCACACACATGTACACAATTGTAAACAGATATGAATTTCTCTCATTGTCCACGCACATGGGCACACACATGTACACAATTGTAAACAGATATGAATTTCTCTCATTGTTTTCAATGAGATAAATGCACTGTTTGCAGCACTTTGATGCTTTGATATGTTAAGACATGTATACTCACTTCCAAACACTTATCTTGTATGGAGAGCATGGAAGGGTATTGAAGGATCAGTGCTATATGCCCAGGTCACAGGTGAGCATGTGGCTCAGTGAGCTTGTTTACAATTAGAAGCAAGTTTAAGATAACAAAAGTCATTCCTATAAGTGCCAACTTTCTGAAGCTGGGAGTGGGGACTGTGATAAATCAGAGACCTTTTTTTATGTGTATGCGTGTATTGCCTGCATGTAGGTAAGTGCACCCGTGTCATGCAGTGCCCAAGGAGGTCAGAAGAGGCTGTCGGATCCCCTGGGACTGGAGTTACAGACAGTTGTTAGCTGCCATGTGGGTGCTGGGATTCGAACCCGGCTCTTCTGCAAGAACAGCCAGTGTTCTTAACCGCTGAGCCATCTCTCCAGCTCATTCATTTATTTTATTTTATGTGTAGTATTGTCTGCATGTATGTAAGCCCACCCATGTTGTGCAGTTACCCAGGTTGGATTTCCCTGGAACTGGAGTCACAAACAGCTGCCATGTGGGTGCTGGGAATTGAACCCAGGTCCTCTGCAAGAGCAGCTAGTGCTCCTAACTGCTGAGCCATCTCTCCAGCCCCCACAAAAATTCTTACATAGGTTTCTGAAAACTATTTTATTCATTTTTAAAAAATATTTTATTTATTATTTTTATTTTATGTGTATGAGTGTATTGCCTGCATGTATGTGAGTATATCCGTGTCATGCAATGCCACAGAGGTCAGAAGAGGGCATCAGATTCCCCTGGAACTGGAGTTAAGGACGGTTCATAGCTGCCATGTGGGTGCTGGGAATTGAACCCAGGTCATCTGCAAGAGCAGTCAGCTCTTAACCGCTGCGCCATCTCTCCAGCCCCTATTCATTATTTTTATTTTATGTGTATGAGTGTATTGTCTGCATGTGTGTAAGTGCACCCCTGTTGTGTAGTACCCATGGAGGTCAGAAGAGGGCATCAGATCCCCTGGAACTGGAGTTACAGATGGTTGTTAGCTACCATGTGGGTGCTGGGAACTGAAACCCGGTCCTCTGCAAGAGCAGCCAGTGCTCTTAACCACTGAGCCATTTCTCCAGCCCCCTTGTGTAGGTTTTAAAGTTGGATCATCTGTGTTGAAAAAATATTCAATTTCTGTCGGTAGGCTTTGTAATTACTGCCTATCAAGTTGAAGGTGGTCTGGTACATTGAACTAATTTGAGTTAGATGTTGATGATTCTAAGGGTCGTTTGAACCTTCAAGCCTAGGTTGAACCCTGGCTTTACTACTTACTACTTGTGAACCTTCACAAAGTAATTTATTTCTCCAGACTCAGTTTCCCACAAGTACTAAATGAGTAGTCCTTTGCATGATGATTAGCAGAGGAAGCTCCATGAAAGCAGTTAGCACTCGGTGGGCACTCATAAAGAATGGCTGCTACTATTTTTTTGTTTTTAGTTTTTCTAGGGAAACAGAACCAATAGGATATATAGAGGTACATAAAATAATGTGTTAGGATGGTTGAGTCCCAGAGTTGTGGAGTCTGAAAAGTCCTGTGATCTGCCGTCTACAAGGTAGAGGCTCAGAAAAACCTAAGCAGCTCCAGTCCAAAATCGAAAGCCTGAGAACTGACAGTTTGGATGATAGCCACTCTGGCATCATCTTCCGATCATTCCCAGAAATAATGTTTGTTTTTAGATACATTTTATTATTTTTACTTATGTGTATGTGCATGTGAGTGCAGGTGCCCACAGAGACCAGAGTGGCAGATCACCTGGTCTGCCAAGAGTTGGAATTTCAGGCCATTGGGAGTCACCTCTTACAGATGTTGGGAACCAAATTCGGATCTTCTGTAAGAGCAGTACACACTCTTCACTGCTGAGCCATCTCTCCAGCCCCAGAAATGTTTTATCAACTGTAGTACAGTTAGGTTGACACATAAAATTAACCATCGTGTTTTCCTATCTTTTGGGGGGGTAAGGAGGCTGCTGGGAGTCAAACTCTGGGTTTATGTATGCTGAGCCTGTGTTCTCCCA